GAACTTTGCTTTAGTTGAAAGCATAAAAGAGTTCTAAAAGCCAAAACGATACTTGGATGTGATGTTTCGAAAGAAGATAACGTAAACTTGTTTTTTTTCAAGCGGTATTCTGGATGTTTTTTGAACCGCCGTACTCGAGGTTCGATCGCGAACATTGGGATATGATATAAAGTTGTTTCCTCAAGAATTTGCAGTGTTTTCTCCACAATCTAGCAGCACTTATGACAATAAAGATGTCTTAAATAATGAGCCCTCTACGGGTGAAATGAGCAGGGCCGAAACTCCAAACATACCGCTATAAAAACTGAAATTTGAACGGGCATTTTGCGAAAACGTCCGACGATAGTATTAATTCGCACGGGATGAATCTCGGGATGAATTTTGACAAACGTTTTTCAAATTAATACCAAGAAGTCATAACCAGTAATTACCTAAATATCTTTGCCATTTTTACATGTATAATCCACGCTTAGTTGACCATTAACCGACACAGTTATAAACAGTATATCAAACATAATTTATATTTTGTGATTTCAAAAAAGTCATGCCTTGTTGTTTTTATGCAGAATGCATGTACACGTCAGTTGGGGGTATTAAATTGTTCGCGTAAAAATCTAGTAAAAATTGCCAAAATTAAACGCAAATTTCTCCGTTTTCTTTCGGTAAAATTTTTTAAAACTTTGCACATTTTTTAATATCGGTACAACAAGTGCAATATCCTTTTTTCGTAAAATTAAATCGAAAGGAAAATGTTTAATATTGATTTTTGACGTTTTTTAAATTTTCTAAGAAACGTATCGATTTAAGTTTTTTAAATTGAGGGGAAAAAATCATACAAGTATTATCTTTTGTGCAAAGTTTTAAAAAATTTCACCGAAGGAACTTTTTAAAATGACCTGAAAAAGACAAATTTTGAGCTATATTCTAAGCATGCTGTTGCCATGGCAACATATTTTTAACACAAAAGTAGCAATTTGCAATGTTCAGGAGAACATTGTCAATGTGTCCAATAAATTTCGTTTTCATGTCATGTAAAGTAAAGAAACAGGAGCCCCTGAATACTATAGTGTAGTAAATTAAAAAACCCTAGGGAGCCACCTTAAACGACTCCAAAACCCCAAAATTTGGACCCAGCGAATTTATACAATATAGTGGAATATAAACACGGATAAGTTAAAGGTTGACAGTTTGACTACACAACGTAGTTTTAATTAAAGAAAATCTTCTAATTCCTTACGATAGTTTTAGCCAAATGTCGATAATATATCTTACATGTATTAAAATTCGCGCGGTACTAGAATTCGTGTGGCGCTGGGTGCGCAAATTTTAGTACTGCGCGAAATATAATTCACGCAAAAAAACTTTGTGATAGCTACAGTAAAGATAAAGCGTGCGTTCAAAATACCAACAAGGACTAAAACATTTATTGTATGGTTCTCATTTGCCTAATACAATAACATTAGTTCGACGCGAATTTTTATTTTTGCGAATAATTATTTTATTTTTATTGTATGGTTCTCATTTGCCTAATACAATAACATCTTTTATTTCGGTATTTACAGAATATTTATATTTTTAGCGCGGCCCATGAAACGTACATCAAAACAATGCGCTGTTTAATTAAATCGTAGGTCAAAGTAAGGTTTGCGCTAATTGCACGTGCATCGATCGGGCTATAAAATATGGCCAAGCATCAACGTGGCGCGTCATGCGTGCGAGAAAACCCCGATATTTTGAAAAATTCAAAATAAATATTTCTACTCGGTGCCGTATTCAAACCGGAAACTTTGTACATGAAAGCGCTTGAATACAAGACGTATTTTATTCACATTGACTCTGAACAAATTCTGAAAAGTTTAGAAGATATATATGTTATTTACCGGATTGGAGGTCCGTATAGAGAAATATTTCTCGAGGTCTTAAAAACGGCCCGAGGCCGAAGGCCGAGGGCCGTTTTTAAGACCGAGAGAAATATTTCTCTATACGGACCGACCATACCGGTAAATAATATTTTTATTTTTTTTTAATTCCTCTGGATTTCCCCAATCACTCCTCCCGCACGCGAATGAAGCTGCCAAATAAAACGTCGTTTCTATCAATGCTATCGGGAAGAGAAATATCTTTTGTGAGATAGTAAAATTCGTTTTCACTGTGTTTTTCATCGTCTGCAGACATTTTAATGTTTTAAAAAGTAACCTTTAAACTCGTCTTTAAATTTTGAAAAATAAAAACATTGGCTCTACGGCTTTAAATCTCGCGCGGTCCGTACGGGCTCATACGGACCGCTCACGTAGCCAATCAGATTGCAGAAAAGCGTAAAATATGACTTCGGACCGCAAGAAAAAAAATAAATTCAAGTATTTTCTCGATGCGAAATACAGAATGTTTGGCCAAGCCGTGAATAAATATATGATTGTTTTGGTTTGTGCAATGTTTTGACGGCATGATTGCAATGGTGCTTTTCGCTTTAAAGGGCGGAATGTTCGCTGAGATATTTACAATTAGAAATAATAGAAAACGTAAAAATGTAAAATTTTGAATTGGGCGTGACGTGAAATAACCCATTTACAGGTAGACTTGAATAACTTAGTTCTTGCACTTCACTTGGTGGAATTAATATTAGGATGTTAGGGTTTGTAATCCAAGTGAGAATATATACATTTTTAATTTCTCACTTGGATTACAAACCCTAACATCCTAATATTAATTCCACCAAGTGAAGTGCAAGAATTAAGTTATTCAAGTCCACCTTATCACAACCCGCACACCCGATTACCTATATATACATGAACTTACGGTTACAGCTCAACAGCTGGCCTCTGTAGCTAGCTCAGTTGGTTAGAGCGCTGCTCCGGAATCGCAGGGCCGTAGGTTCGTTCCTACCAGAGGACCTCGTGCTGCATTTTTCGCAGTCGTCCCTGGTTAGGTCTTAAAAATGTATATATTCTCACTTGGATTACAAACATTTACAGGTAGTATCTTACTGGCAGTGCAATTGTCTATACAGCAAATACTAAAGTAGATAGACAGTAAATACTAAAGTAGGGTGCATTGCCAGCTAATGGGTTAATAAAAGACATTGGCAGATGTGTTTGTTAAACAACTTATAGTACTCTACCACTGACAAGTGAAATCGTCTGGCGGTACACGGTGTAAAAATGTCTGGCGTTAGTCAGAGTTACTACAAAAAGTGGTGTGCATTGCCAGCTAGTATAGGTTAGTAGACCTTAATATCCACTTTTGACTCAATGGCCTCATGAAAATGTTGGTTATTTACTCGTATTCCGTACACACAATTTAAGAATAAGCTTGTGATTGGGCTTAAATGATGAACGAGAAACAAATTTGTTCAGGAAACATAGCCATAGGGGATATAATCTTCATGTGCAGGCCTGCCATGCTACCAATGATGAAATGTGGAAATGAGGCCATTGGGTCAAACGTAAACTTTCCTTTAGAGAATTGTTTAGAAATACAAACTTTTGCATTCAGTTCATGTGGCAAGAAGACAGCACTTTCCGTTGCGATAGTAACTCCTAGTTATAGATTTGCACTGACCATAGGTCTCCCGAAAAGGTCTTTTACTTTCTTTAAAAGATCCATGCATGCAATTTGCTTGCGGCTTACGATTTGTATTCTTGTCTATTGCACCATAGCGAGTATGTCGTCATTTTCAGGTCAGTGTGAACGCCTAAGCAGGCGTCTTGTCTCATTTAAAATGCTAAAAATGGACGTATTATTATTAAAAATCCAGTGTACTAAGAATACTATAAACAATACGGAAAGCTAGTTAAAATCTATATGCTATTTAACAATTATTGAATGAGGTTGAGCACGATATGAAGAATTATCAAGCCCGATATGAAGAATTATCAAAACCGAAGCCGAAGGCTGAGGTTGATAACGGCAAACTGAGGGTTTGATAATTCTTCATATTGTGCGAAAACCGAATTCAGTAATTTTTTTATTATTTAAAACAAACGGAAGCCATTTGTATTTTATTTGTATTAAGAAAAAAACAATTCCCGAGTCCTTCGGCAGCCGTGGTCGTCGTCATATCAATGGCGTCAGCGAGTCAATATGATTCTTGTCGTCATAGTAATATGGCGCAAACGCGTCCAATTTTTTTCATATTGACTCTTTGACGTCATTTTGCTAATATGAATGTGAAAATCCATATTTGGTTAGCCATTGAGTTGATTCGACAATTTCACATTTGGCTGTTAGCCAATCAGAAACCAGGAATTTTTTAAATAAATAATAAATAAAATTGTCCTCCTGCTACAGCCGTTCATTAAGTGTCCTGAATGTTTTTGTATTTCTAACGCCTCGATATATTTTCGTTCCTCGTGGTTACTAATGAACAAATAAACTTGAACCGTCGTTTGAACAATGTCGCGAACAAATATCTATACTGCGACCCTAGATTATTATTATTATTATTAATGGTTTAAGATACACACCTTCGCAATAGATTGAATTATGGTGCGTTTACAAAATTAGTACGCTATATATATATTTACATATATAAAAAATTAAGTTGCATGCATCAAGTCTAAAAATCTTATTGAATTGCATTAAAATCATCGTAATTTTAATTACGATGATTTTAATGCAATTCAATAAGATTTTTAGACTTAAAAGTTTCACGCTTAAGTTTCTTTACTATAACTATTATATAAAGCTACTGTACTGGGAAAAAAGCTACGGCGATATCTTTCTGTTCGGCATTTTATTGTTGTTAATGTGTTAGAGTTTCTAAGTTCATAATCATTTGAACTAGCCCTAGACAATGGAACATATTTTGACAGTGGTCCTTCAATTTCTATGCGTTTCATAGTATTGAGGCAATGTCGTTCTCGCCTTTCATCCAATCTGGAACACCCAAGTTGTGCTAATGCTTCCCTATAAGAGTAACCCGGTAAAATGATCCTCAGCGCTCGTTTTTGCACTCGCTCTAAATCATCGGCGAGGTACAAAGGTAGGGCATGATGCCATACCACACAACAGTACTCCAGAACCGATCGTATTAAGGCAAAGTATATACTCAATAAGTCTTCCGCAGGGACACCACCTCGTCGTAATATGCGGATGATATATAAACGTTTAGAAGCCTTGGATACAACTGATTCTATGCGTGCATTCCATTTAAGATCGTTTTGGATAACCAGACCTAGGACTTTATGAGACCGCACAACCTCAAGCGCATGACCGTCGATCAACAATGGTGATAGATCAGGTGATTCCCTCAGAAAGCAAACGCGTAGTTCTTTGCACTTTTTGGAGTTAAGTTTCATAAGGTTGCACGAAGCCCAAGAATTTATAGTATCAATACAGAACTGAAACTTTGAGTTGCTGCCCTTTGTGATATTTTCAGATGTTGATATGTCATCCACAAATTTCCAAATATCCGTTGCGTGTGGTTTCACATCGAGATCATTTATCATCGCCAAAAACAGAATTGGACCGAGTTTAGTTCCCTGGGGGACACCCGCATTCATTGGCAACCAGTCTGACGTTTTTCCTCCAAGTTTGACCCGATGACGGCGGTTAGTTAGGAAGTTGATAATCCAAGGCAACAGGGACGATCTAACACCTAGGTCCAACAGCTTTAATATTAATAAATTATGTCCTATACGGTCAAACGCCTTTTCGAAGTCAAGGAAACAAAGTCTAAGATGTTTTCAGGACACTCTAAGTTGCACAACCAAGTGTGGATCATGTCTAAAAGACAATAAGTTGTGGATATTCCTTTCAAGCATCCAAACTGCTTGGGGTCGATCTTGTCTTTAATATCGGTTATCATCCACCCGACCACGAAATCTTCAAGAACCTTAGCCAGGCAGGGTGTCAGTGAGATGGGTCTGGTGTCACCTTCACAGGTAGGAGGTTGGGATTTTGGAACTGGTATGATGTCTGAGTCTTTCCATATTGCAGGCACGATTCCAGATGAAAGTGATTCGTTGAAAATAGTTGCAACAGGTTCGGCTAATTCATGGGCATACTCTTTTCAGGATACGACAGGGGACGTTATCTGGGCCGTGAGCTTTAAAAGGTTTAATTTCTAAGAGCTTTTTACATACTTCATGCGGTTGAACTGTTTACCCTGCTATACTGTTTTTCTTGGTCACAGGGGCGTAGGAACCGGGGGGCCAGGGGGGCCAGGCCCCCCAAGTTT